GCCTCAAGGAGAGAGGGAGGTGTCTTAAGAGGAACACAGACTCCATTTTGGAAAGCTGAGATTCAAATCCCTACTCTGACATTTTAGCTTTATGACTTTGGGCAGGTCCCTGAAGACCCTAATTTGATTTCATATGTGAAATAGAGATAACACTTGCTTTGAGGAGTGAAGTGCCCGCCATAAATGAAGTGCTCAAGAAATGTTCTTTCACTCCTAACTAGGTGGAACTTTTTTTTTTTCACTTTTTTTTTTAATTAAGTTTATTGGAGTAACATTGGTTAATACAATTATGTAATTTTCAGGTGTACATTATAATTTGGCGTCTGTATATTCAATTGTGTGTTTACCACCCAAAGTCCAGTTTTAGATGGAACTCTTAAAGGGAACGCTTTCCTTCAGGTTAGTCAATGCAAATATTCCATTACACCCACCTGTCACCTTTAGAATGAAGCTTTTAAGAAACCCTCTGGCTAGTGCATAGTGAGGTATACAAGTACAAAATTCCCTTATACAGAAGCAGCGTCTGACTGAGTCTTCGGGAGCAACTGAAGGTTGCACAGTTTACCCAGGAGTAAATTATGCCAACATGGAAGATAGAAATCCTTTCTAGTGGGCATGGGCATGGTAGGTGGGATTGAGAGGAGAAGGTTATTGACCTTAAAGGCTAACAGGGCTACACCAACCTTTCCCTGTACAGTTGTTATGTTTCAGGAGCCATGATGTGATCTGGGTGTATCTGAAAATCTGCTGAAGAGAGGGTTGTTTGCTAAAATGGTTTCACTGCATTTCAAAGTCACAGAAAGCAAACCTCTCAAAGAGAGAGAAAGCCCTGCAAATAAGAGGACTTTAAAATGAGCATCTCATTTACAAAAAGCCTATTCAAAAACAAAATTCACACCATTAACTAAAGGGCAAAATATCACGATTATCACTTGGACTTGTTAAAAGCAAACTTGTTCCTTGGTCTTCAGGCCAGTGCTACATGTAAACTGAAACCCTCTTCTGAGACTACATCTAGAAGAAACACATTAGCTGTGCTGTGTGGCGTCGATCTGGGAGGTTTCTATTGTTCTTTAAAACCCACATTATTTAATCATTCTGATCAAACTTCACAAAGGCTGCAAAACAAGTTAGCATTTTAGTTTTAAACCAGAATAGATCCAAGGTTTTTACGTATTGGAAAACACAAACTTTAACTTTTCACCCGTGTTTAATGCTCTTCAGGATGTTATTTTTCAATACAAGACAAAACATTTTGGGGGCTTCTTTTAATGTCAACATATGCAGTACTGCGGAGATGTATATTTGGTTTTCCTTTACAGGAGCAGAATTTGATTCTATACCACAGACTCATGTATAACTGAAATGAAAAAACTCATTCATTCTATTTTCTGCTTATCTGGTGGCGGGGGGTAGGAGGGTAGAGTGGAAATTCTACATGTGCAAGAATTGTCATACTAGAAATGTCAGACTATGACCGGCCCTATTATACTAATATTTGCAGCTATCATACCATATCGTGTTAAGTGTTATTTCTTCTTTGCTTCTCTTCATTCATATTTTTGCCTTTTTTTAAAGTTCAGATTCAGAATTCTATCTTTAAATTTTATAGTATGCTTAGAGGCAAGTTCATGAGGGCTGGGAGGAATGTTAAATGAGAAATGTGATTCTTTCTTTCTCTACGAAGTGCTGGTACTACAAGCTCTTAAATGTACTCCGCACTAAAAAAATTAAAAAAGAAAATTCATCTAGTAAATATGACTCTTGAACTTGGAAGTGCTTAGCATTAGTGCCTGGTGTACAAGGTGAGTTTACTCTATATTTATTGATGAAGGAAGATAAAAAACACTACTATTTATATCACATGTGTGTCTTGCTTCCCTCCTGTTATCAAAATTCTACAGCTTGGTAGGACTTCTAGGTAGGACTTTAGAAAGCATTTTGTCTGGCCCCTTCATTTAACAAGTAAGAAAACTTCTGAATATGTTATGATTTCCAAGGCATAGTTCTATGGTTTATTTGAGGGCCAGGAGTTTTTGGTTATCAGCTGCAGTTAACACACATTTCCAGTCCCTTTATAACCTTATAGAGAGCTGCTCTCTAAACCTAACTTCCAACCTGCATTTCAGGTTACTGGAGATATCGACCTTGCAGCAAATATAAAATATTTGACAGCATATAATAGTAGAAAGATCCTAAGCTTCAGGATGATATCTGAATTCAAACCCAGGTGCCACCATTGCTAGAGTTGAACATGAGACATATCAGTTTACCTCTCTGAATCACAGTTTCTCATTTGTGAGATAAAGACCAAAATGCCTACATTAGAGAATTAAATGAGCTAAGACAAAAACGACATTATTTAGTAGATATCCAAATGTAATTTCTTCTTTCCCTCCATATTTAGAAATGTTACCTGTAAAAAAAATACTTCCCAATTTTGTGAGTTTCCACAGTGATTTTCTGAGCATCACCTTACTTAAGTAGGACAGCTATTACTTTCGCAGTTTTACAAATGGGAGATTAAGAGATCTGCCCACATTCATAAGGAGTGGAACTGAGACCCAATCTGATTTCAAAGCAATAAAGGGTCTGTTCTTCTGGGAGATATTCCCATATAAAATAAAACAGCCATGGGCAAGTTTTAAAAATCAAAACCTTCTAGTGTAAGAAACACATGAGTAGTTGAAAGTAAAACATTTCCAAGATTCCTATAAAGAAATGGACAAGAGCTGAGACTGGTAACCAAGAGAAGCAACCAGTTTGGACTTCTGGGTCAAATTTAGATAGTAATTTTTTGCTATTCTAAATGCTCTTGTCATATTTAATATGTACTGTAATAATAGATGAAAGCCAGAACTGCCCTACTCCTACTCAATCAGTGAGTCTGCACAAAAATATAAATAAGTAAATAAATAAGAGCTAGAAAAATATTTGAGTGTAATAGTACCTTGCTTTATTTTCATGTATCTCTATGTATGTCTGGATAGATAGATAGATAGATAGATGGATGGATGGATGGATAGATAGATAGATAGATAGATAGATAGATAGATAGATAAATGATAGATGGATGGACGGACGGAAGACAAGCAGACAGACAGATATCTTAAGAATAAAAT